TTGGAGAAGGTAGAACAGAGGATTGTATAGCATCAAAAGGGACAAATGATAAGGGAAAAGAAGGAATGACATTGGAGCCTCTAGTACTAGGGTTAGGGACTGCTCCCCTTGAACACCACTATTTCTTGAGAATTAGCATTCTTGGGAATACAGCAATTTTAGGAAGGCTAAAAGTGTAAGGAAAACATTTGTTAGGAGTGATGGGGGATGGGATTTGTATAATTTTTTTGAAAGTTTGGTGTCTTATGATATTCTATACTCATATTTCCCTGCTTCTGTGAATAAGAACCAGAAGTACTTTTTTCCAACCCTTTCCTATAGTCAAGCTTGATAACCATGATTATCTAGCGTTTGTTTTTTTTCTCATTAGAATCATAATGTACATTTTCCTATCCTTAACTCACTGTATCAGTTCACGTAACTTCTACCCTGCTTCTCTGAATTCTGCTTATTATTTGTCACTAAATCTCACTACATTTATATACCACAATTTGTTTATCTGTTCCTCAGTCAATAGGCATCTATTTTGCTACCACAAAAAATGCTGATATAAATATTTTGGTGTATATGGGACCAGGGGCATTATATATTAATATCACTGTAATAGTAGAAAAGAAAGATTGAAAAAGCGTATAGAGGATTAGTTATGATGCTCTTATCCGAACTAGAAAAGGGGTTAAAAAAAAAAGCAACACAATACAAAGTTTAAAATGTAAATTTATAACGCATGCAATATTAATATATGCACAAAGTAGTTAATGGAAGGAACAATTATTAATATTAATACTAATCTTAAATTGAAATGGGTTATATTCCACAATAAAAAGGACAAGTATGGATAAGAGTGAAAAATGCTGCATGTAAGGAACATATTTTAAGCTGAAAATTGTAGGATAAAACAATTTGTTATGCTAGCAAATAAACAGTTACAATCGTGTTCTAAGAAAAGGAAATTAAAATTGATGATTTATGTAAAGCTTTAAGGTTTGCAAAGTACTTTACAAGTATTACCTAATGTTATCATCACAAGCCTTGGAATTGGGTCCTTTCCTAATTTTGTAGATGAGAAAACTGAGGTGGACTGAGGTTGTGACTTGCTGGGGATCACACAGCTAGTAAATGTGTGAGTCTGGATTTGATCTGGGTCTTCCTGACTCCAAGTCTTAGGCTCTATCCACTGCACCACCTAACTTTTAAGAAAACCAAAACAAGGAAACTTTATCATGCTTAAGAACACCAGAAAATTAGAAATACTAAGTCATATACAGTTACAAGCATAGGTAAATTCTTAAAAGTTAGGCTAATTGCAAAAAGGCATTGGTAGCAACACTAATGGGCTGGAGAATTTTAGTATTTCAACTGTATAAACACAATCAATAGGAACAAGAAGGAAAATAAGAGGTGAATTAATATGTTGAACAAAGTAGATTTGGTTGACCTTTGTTGACTTCTGAACCGTATACTAAAGAAAACACATTTTGCAGCATCCATTGTTAACCTTTATAAAAAGTGAGTATGCTAAGAATCCAGGCCAAGTGCAAAAAGGCAGATATAATAAATGCATCCTTTGTTGGCCATACTGTGATAAAATAAAAACAATAAGACCAAAAGATGGCTGAGTTATGATGGAATCAAAGAATAAATAATGAAAACAGCATGATGAAACTTTTGAGACATAGCTGAAATAGGGAAATTTTATAGTTCTGAAAACAAAATAGGAAAAAAGATCAATAAATTGAGCATATAATAAATCAGCACCTCTAACATTAGTACAGTGAAGAAATTTTGAGACTTAGAAAAAATTCAAAAGAATTTGTAAAACTGAGAAATGAGGTTTTTTTTTAAAGTGATAATAATTTGCTAACATGATCAAGAAAAGGAGAAAGCAAAATCAGATTACCCAAAAATACAGGAAAGGAAATGAATTGCTAGAGACTTACATACAATTCTATCTAAAAATTCAAAGGAATCTACTATAAAAATAGAAAATGCCCAAACAAAATAAGAAAGCATGATGTATTGTTATATCATGATGCCCAAAGAAGAGAAAGAAAAAACTATAGGACTACTCACTAATAAATACTGATATAAAAATTGTAAATAAAGTTTTCACAGGAAAAAATAAATAGATCCTAAGAATAATTGAATACAATGGATTCATACCAGGGATACAGGGATGTTTCAACAATGGAAAATTAATATAATTACAACTAAAAGAAAAATTATTTCAATAGATGAGGAAAAAGCTTTTACAAAATACAACACTTACAAATTCTAAAAAGCATTGGCACAGAAAGGATATTTTTTAATATGATCAAAAGTATATTTAAAACCAAGAGTTCCATTGTTTGTAATAGAGAAACACTAGAAGCTTTCCCAGTACAAAAAGAAGTAAAACAAGGATGTGCTGAGCATTCTTCACTATTACTTGACAGTTCTGGACATGCTAGTTATCATAGTTGTACAACAAAAATGGTCATCACAATAAAATGAGAACAAAATTAAAAGATTATTTTTACACAGTCTTAACAAAAACCAGCAAGACATGATGAATTCCATTCAAAATAACTAAAAAATGCATAATATATCTGGGAGTAAAAAGGACACACAAAATTTATGTAACTTTAAAACTACAGAAAATAGTGAAGACAAATTCAATCTTCGATACTCATGGTTGGGTGGTATCAACGTAATGGCAGCAGTACTGCCTAAATAATTTACAGATTAGTGCTACAACTAGACAAATCATTTGTAAGGCCTAGAATCTCTTTGTGTGTGTGTGTGTGTGTGTGTGAGGTAATTGGGGTTAAGTGACTTGCCTACTCATACACCTAGCGAGTGTTAATGTGTCTGAGGGCAGATTTGAACTCTGGTCCTCCTGATTTCCAGGGCCAGTGCTCTTTCCACTGTGCTACCTAGCTGCCCCTGTAAGGGTTAGAATCTCAAGGAAGACAATGAGAAAGATTATAAATAAAGGGGACATAAAATTAGCAGACATAATTTTAAAAATCTGTATTTTAAAGCAATCATAGAAAAACTAAATCTGGTGAAGACACTAGAAATGTAAGCAATCAAAAACTGCACAGCAGTGTTTAATACTCAAGAACATGACTGGGGAAAGGACTGTACAAGAACTGGGTAAGCTATACAGCAGAAAGTAGGTTTTGCCCAACAGTTTATATCCTAACACAACAATAAGCTAAAAACGATGTAAGAATATAAATATAAAATGTCTTGAATGTACAATGTTATACCAAAAAGAAAAAATGAATGAGATACCAAGAATCACAAATATGAATAGGGAGAGAATTATTTTTTTAATTTTCTTTTTAATTTTGACCTTAAATGCCAAGAAAAAGGATTTCAGCATTATATAGCAAAACACAAAATGGTTTCATATGAAACTGTGACTCTCCATTTCATACACCTGAATGTAATCAATATCCAAGTTACTTTAATAACTTCCTTTTGTGTTTTCTTTTGAACTTCTTTTCTGTGCCCTTTTAAAAATGTTTTAATCTCTCTCTCTCTTTTTTTTGGCATTACTATTGCAACTCCTCCTCCCTTGCCCCTTCCTCTTAGGAAAAGAATTCTTTTTTTAAAAAATTTTTTATTTATTTTGATTTATCAGCAATTACTTCCATAAGCTTTTGAGTTTTAAATTTCCCCCACCTCCTTCCCCAGGACGGCGCACAATCTGATATAGGCTATACATATACATTTCTATTATACATATTTTCACATTAGTCATTTTGTAAGGAAGAATTAGAACCAATAGGAGGAACCACAAGAGAGGAAACAAAACAAAACAGAAGGAAAAAAATGGCAAATAGTATGCTTCCATTTTCATTCAAATGCCATAGTTCTTTCTTTGGATGTGGATAGTATTTTCCATCATGAGATTTTTGGAGATGTCTTAGATCCTTGCATTGCTGAGAACAGTTACGTCTATCAAAGTCATCACACTGCATGGCAGTTATTATGTACAACGTTCTTCTGGTTCTGCTCACTTCACTCAGCACCAATTCATACAAATCTCCCCAGGTTTTTCCTAAAGTCTGCCTGCTCATCATTTCTTATAGCACAGTAGTATTCCATTACATTCATACATCACA